AGGTCATGAGACCCACTAAACCCCCACCCAAGAAAGGGTGACCTGACATTCCATCAGAAGGTCAGTAATATGAGACCACTAATCCCCCACCCTACCTCCACCTGACATTGAGTAGGTCAGTCCCCCCACCCAAAGAAAAAATATATATAAATTAATTAACTTTCATCTTTATTCAAAACATTTTCAGAAAATTCTCTTGATTTTCAACCTTGTAAAATTTTTTACTATAGCCGGAAATTTTTTTAAAATTCCGGCTTTGGGAATGATTTTCCAAGCAAATTTCAATTCCGGCTATCAGAGATTTCCGGGTTTGAGGAATTCCAGCTAACAGAGATATTACTATATTTTCTTGAAGTACAGTACAGTTCATAAATAAGTATTGTTGATTGAATAAACAGCCAAACTGTGCAATGCTTTGCCTTCTTCTGTGTTTCCATCTTGCTTCAAAAAGCTTCCCATAAAAAAAAAAAAAAAATTACCTAGATCACACTTAGACTCATCCTCTTATCACAGACTCCAGCCTACTCGGAAAATTGGCCTTTTCCCCCAATTAATCTGAGAAAACATAACAGACGAGTAGTTTAGGCACTGAAACATTCATTAATGCCCGGAAAAATTCTATATATATGCAAGATTTTCCCATGATAAGGATTCGTCAGAATACAGGAACGTCTCTCTAATACGGAAATGTTCTGCACCAGTTATTCCAGCTTTTGGGATATTACTAACTTTTTCTTTTCTTTTTTAGGGAACTCAACTTCTAAATAGACTACAGGGCGTATTTGTTTTGTTTTTCGTAATTTAAATTATACATACGATATTTTCTTAAATTTGTTACTTAAGAAACAAAACAAACAGTCAATTGAGAGAGAGAGAGAGACCTGGTAGGCCTAAGGTACCATGGATAACCTCGGACCCAGGAAACCAGAAAATCTTCAAAACCAGTTTATTCTAGGTCCAAAGATCCTGCATGTGTGGGTCTATACATTGCAAAATTTTCTCTCCTTCCATAGATACAGTATTTCTTTTTTAGTTGGCTGGTCATAAATTTTGCCTTTGTAGTGCCTGTACCTGGCAACCCTACAGCTATGTTATTGATAATTTATTCAGGTTAAATAAATTTTGTCCATAATTTAAACATTTTGTTTCTGCAAAATACTGTTATGTATAAAGTGAAACAGGTGTATAACTACTTTAAAAGCTTTATCCTCACCCATATTAACATCCTTCTCACACAATTCTTTCTACATCCCTTTACATATGCATGCTCATCAACTTTCCTCGCACATTTACCCATACAATGGTCCCTCGATTAATGAACACAATTGGTTCCACAGAGTCGGTTGTTAACCGAAAATTTCGTTAACTGAATCAATTATTTCAATGGGATATTGGGTAATTGGTTCCAACTCACAGAAAAAGTATAGATTCATGCGCTGGTTAACGTCCAACTGAACAACGTCCGATTACATATACGTCCCCCACTCCACAATCCCCTGACGGAGACACGATGATCCTTTGATCCTTCCCATACTGGCCAGTTATTATGTGTTAAAGGAATATCCTTCCTTAGACTTTAGTAAGCATTTGCCTCCAGGTGTAATGTTAACCTACATCTATTGAGGATAAAATCTTTCACCTACAAATTGACAATAACACATTTGCTGTAATCAGACATATCTAGTTGCCTCAGCAATTGCAACCCCAGTTGCAATTTCAAATTCTGTGTCATTACTAAGGAATAACAAAGTCTCTGGTGTACTGCACTCTTAAGATTAAGAGAAAACGGACTCAGGCGTCCTGAAGCGAGAGAAAACGGATTCCTATGATGGGGGACACAAGCACTCACATGTGCCACTCATGCTGACAGACTTGACACTCACTTACTTGACAAGTTTTACCAACCCTTAGTTGTAATAATAATAATAATAATAATAATTAACGGTTTATTGAAAAAATTCTGCAGCCCGAAGGCTGAAAATATACATTGGACATAAATGACTTATTACATACATTGGTGGTTTAACAAAAGCCTTCATTAGAGAAAGGTAAAGGAACATACAGTGAACATATAGATTAGTGTAGGTGTTGAACAGCAAACTCGTAGTGTAATAACTCCCTCCCAGATGGTGTTAGGAGGAACTCACGTGGTGTAGTAGTTCCCTCAGATGGTGTTATGAGGGACCTGGCGTGGTGTAGTAATTCCCTCGCAGATGGTGTTATGAGGGGCCTCACGTGGTGTAGTAATTCCCTCGCAGATGGTGTTATGAGGGGCCTCACGTGGTGTAGTAATTCCCTCACAGATGGTGTTATGAGGGACCTCACGTGGTGTAGTAATTACCTCACAGATGGTGTTATGAGGGACCTCACGTGATGTAGTAATTACCTCACAGATGGTGTTATGAGGGGCCTCACGTGGTGTAGTAACTCCCTCACAGATGGTGTTATGAGGGGCATCACGTGGTGTAGTAATTCCCTCACAGATGGTGTTATGAGGGGCCTGACGTGGTGTAGTAATTCCCTCGCAGATGGTGTTATGAGGGACCTCACGTGGTGTAGTAATTCCCTCACAGATGGTGTGATGAGGGACTTGACGTGGTGTAGTAATTCCCTCACATATGGTGTTATGAGGGACATGTGGGGTAGTAATTCCCTCACAGATGGTGGTATATGAGTGAGGTTTGGTCCCAGGCCTTCCTATCATAGACAGATTAGCACATCGCTGGTTGTTGTTGGGTCTCACGGGTCGTTATCACTGGGTACCTGGGACCTCACTGTGTGAAGGTTAACTTGGGACTGTTACTGTTGAGTTGTTCTCACTGACTTAAGCACTGTTCACCTCTGTTTAACACTGGTTCCGTTCCTTTCCTAAATGAAATTGTAACTTCTGGCGAGAACTTGTTGATATTCCTGTGGGGAGGAGGGTTCAGGGGAGGGGGTTGGTATAGGCCAACTTAACAGTTGACCTGGCTGCTCCGAGAGGAGCGCCAGGTACGTCTTGACCCTTCGGTAGTCAAGGATGTGTGTACGTTATCTAGTGAATTTAGTCAATATTGTACAGTACAAGTACACTGCAATACAGTGGTCCCTCGGTTAACAATGGACCTGCAAACCTGTACTGTACATGTACTAAATGATTATGGTACTTAAATTGTTATGTCTATTGCAAATATAGATTGTTTATACAGGTATTCAAATAAATCACTATCTTACAAGAATCCCAGCAATGTAAGTTATATTCACCCAGGTCGTTTGGGTGGCAAATTATGAGAAGAGCTTAGTCACTCTTAGTAATGATAAATAAACACCCAGGCCTTCAGCGCCAACTGTCAAATCTTATCTCAAATAAATAAACAAACACCAGATGCTCTGTCACCTCACCTCCTGCCCCCTCCCCCCCACCCCCCCTCTTCCTACGCTCGCTGGCTACCTCCCTCCTTGTGTTCCCAGACAAAAGATGGTGATAACTTTATGCTTTAAGGTGTTTATTTTATATAATATCTCTGACTAAAGTTAGATTATAATTTGAATTGCTGGAATCCTTGCAAGACTGCCAATAATTTGAATATAAACGTCATATATTTTGCTCAAGATATAAAAATTGTAGGACATTAGTGTACAATACTGTAGTACCTTTTATAATATAAAGTTTTTCAACTGTATTTTTGGGTAGATTTACATAAATTTCTTCATTTATTTTCATTCATTTACATGCACACACCATACTAAAAGAAACGTAAAAGAAATACTGTAAATGACTTTAGTGCAAAGCTGGAGTGCACATGTACTAAGGGTATTTGATTACAGTACTAAAATTGTTATGTCTAGTGCAAATTATAGGTTGTTTATATTTAAATAAATCAACATCTTCCAAGAATCCCAGCAATGTAAATTATATTCACCCAGGTCATTTCACTGGCTTTTTATAGGAGAGAAGCTTAGTCACTTAAGAACTGATAAATATATACGCGTTAGGCCTGGACCTGTGCCAACTGTCAAACCGCTCCCCTCCCCCCACGCTTGCTTGCTCCCTCCCTCCCTCTCCCCCATCTGCCCAGCGTTGCTGGAATCCTTGTAAAACAGTGAATAATTTTAATATTAACGTCATGTATTTTGCACAAGAGAGAAAAATTAATCACCTGTATCACATTATAGTAGTGATTTAAGAGTAAAAGTGTATATGTACGTATACAGTATAGTATTCCACATACACGTAAGTATAAATACAAAGTTTATGTGATGATCGGACAACGTTCATTTCGGTTAACGTCACGTTTCCAAGAACGTATCTAGGATGTTAACCGGCGCATGACTGTACATACAAAGTACTGTACTGTATACCGGTAATGGAATTAACAAAACATTAAATATAAACTAAATACAGTACTGTACTGTACAGTATACTGTACAATAATAAATAAAAAACAATAGAATACTGTATTTTAACTTACTTTGAGGTGTGTATGTCATATTCCCGGCAGCTTTGTTTACATATCAAACCGCTGATTGTAGAGGCAGTCCATCGACTGCCATATTCTTTACAGAGTGCATTGGTTCTAATGCCTTCTTCATGTTTCATAATATTTCTGTACTGTATATATTATCAATATGTTAACTAAATTTCAGAATGACCAGTAATTTTAATATTAAAAATGCAAAAATATTCAAGAGCACAACTTTCTTGATATTTACTCCACTGGAAACGAATGTAAACATAGAACCAATTACTGTATTGGCGGACTAGCCGATCAGCTGATCAGCACAACAAAGCGTGTTTCTCGTAAGGCTGTCATTAATCGAAGTTTTGTTTGTTAATGGAACTGAAAATCGTGATGGGAGCTAATTCGTTAACCAAAATTTCGTTAATTGAACCGTTCGTTAATCGAGGGACCACTGTATTAACATCCTCCAACAAGCTTATCTAAAATACAATTTCTTCAATCACTCAGCCATACCAGTTACTCTCACTTATATTTTCTTACCTGTTTTACACATTACAGTGTGTGTGAAGCTCAGCTGGTGGGACGTGCCTATAGCTTTACTGTGGACTGGGGCACAGCTCTCTACCAACAATATGTTAAGAATGGTGATGAATCATATCTTACTGATTATCTGGCCACTTTTAAACTTTCTCCGGAAATCATGCTCGAGGTAGTGAAGAAGTAAGTAATTTTAATATTTTTTTATATTTTTGTTTAAGTACGGTATTTTTAACTTGTGCATTTGAAAAGTCAGTTTGCTTTCTTTTTATTTTGGTTTGTGTGAAAAAGAACATTGACATTTGGAAACTTATCATTTATGCTATAAGAATTTGGGAAAGTGTTTACTTGTCTCTGAGTAAATTTGTGATTGAACTTCTAAGTGTTGAGTGGAATGAAAAGATACATTGTTAGAAAAAGACATTATAGTTAGTTACAACTGTGATTATTACTCTACCTTTCAAATTACTGCACCAGTATTGTACCTTGAATGGCTTGATGCACTAGTTCTCCTTAGTTCATATACAGAGGGGGCATGCTAACTTACATCTTTCCTCACTTCTATCTTAACCAGATTTGATTTTTACATTGATGGGGATGTCACAAACAACTTTTTTTTCTGTTGTGAAAAATCATATGATTGTTCACAATTGGACAAACACTGGCCCAGGTAAAGTCACCATCATGATCATCGTATTTTTTCATTTTCAGATTGGAACATGATGGTATAACAAAGGACCGTCGAGTACGGGTAGCATCCATGCTGGTTCATGTTGAAGAATCTGATATAGTTTATCGAGTAGCAAGTCAGCTTGGTCTCAAAAGTACTATAGATAAATGTCTAGCTTCAGCTTATGTGCCATATCTTAAAGATACTATTTTTGTAAAGGGATGTACTTTCAATGATTGAAAAGGATAGCTATTTAACCATACTGTAGTTACCCTACTAATTCATCTGTTTACAATGTAAGGGAAGATATTATCAGTAATAGTAAAACTGTACCATTTTACAGCCATTTTCCATTATCTGATGGCAGTTTTCAAGCTAATTGGTCTCCTGTTGCCTCTCTCATGAGGACCTTATCTCTCATTCAGGGCTTACTCCTAGCTTTCTTCCCCTCCACATTCAAACTCCTGTATCTCTTGATCCAGTTAGTCTCCCCCATTCTCTTCACAAACCCATACCATCTCAGCTACTTCTGCACAGAACCTCACCAACAGACACACACACACACACCCTCTTAGCTTTGAATAGGGTTTCCTATTTATGAATGTTACATTACACATTCATCTCACTATTCTCATTTCAGCTCACTTAAGCTTACATATGCCATCCTCTTTAACTTCTCATGTTCCAGTGTTATACAATAACACACCTCTCACACCAGCTACATACAACTTTCCTTTCAAGCAAAGAGGAAAGTTGTATGAAGTTGGCAAGAGAAGTATGTTTTGCAGGTGTAAGGTGAGGTGACAGGCGTTATGACTTTACATGACAAGGGTAACTGACACCATTTAGGTGGACATAAGTGACCTTTGAGTTGGTACTGAACACATTCTGCACAGCCTGGTATGGACACAGTGCATGGTAGGTTGAGATTAGTTCATAGAATTTATGGCTGGATGCTTGAAAGTGAGAAAAAGATTGATTGAGGTGGTTGGATTATACTATACAGGTAAATTAGTAAGATCCAGTTATCATGTAAGGTAATGCCAGGAAAATAATTGTGGACCTTGAACAATGGAGTTGCTTTGTCAATGACTGATATTGTAAATGAGCCTGATGACTCAACTTGGTACAGTATACTCCTTAAGTTCAAACGAAATGTTGAGAATTGGTGTAGATACAGTACAGTACAATATTAAGATTCACTGTGTATACTACTTACGAAGATTCAGGATAAGAAAAGTGTCTTGGGTCATTTACTGTTAGTTTCCACCCTTGTCATACACTACTTTCCTTAGATTCTTTAATTTCCTTTAATTTCTGTACCCCTTGATTTATCCCACATAAATGTGAAAGGAATGAAACCTCGATTAACCGACCCTCGATTAACCGTCAATCCCAAACCCCTAAAAATTTTTTTTTTTACACGGGGATTAGCCCACCCGGGCACAGGTCACTGACCCACATTGGGGCGATAATGTAATAATATTAATAATGATAATGCTCATAATAATAATAACATTAATAAAGAACCATAAAGAAATGCAAAAATGAAAAAAAAAAATCAAGAGTGAGAAACAATGTACCTGTATGTATGTTGTGTTGTCAATAGTAAGAGAAACAATTGAGACCATGCAATTGTGTGTAAATGAGGCAGAAAGTCAGATCAGCAACCTGGGACTTGGTCACAATTTTTGTGATGACATACCGTATATCTCGGCCTATAAGACGGAATTTGAACCATAAAAAAAATCAGCCCAAAGTTAGGGGGTCGTCTTAAGCACCAGATATAAAATTCTTACCTCTTAAATATTGTGGTTTAGCGTGTCAAGAGTGGTGATGGAAACATGGTAAACCACTCACAAGGTCCTACCACTAATTATTTTATACTGAAACTTACGTTTGGGAAGTTGGATTAAAATGAAGATTACCGGTATATTAAAATAATAAAAATGTATTATAAACCAGTCTAACATACCGTAAAAGAACAATATACCCCGGTAATATACACAGCTGCTATCATCACCCCCCCCATTTGCCAGTGACAAGAAAAGGAAAGTGACCTTGACTGTGACCGCCTGTGGCTATTTTTAGCCGTCCTTGTGTTCGGAGGTGGTCAGTAATGCATATCTGTATATTTACTGATCATAATACTTATCTCCTATAAATAATTCATTTAAAATTTTTTTTTTTTACAAAGAATATTCAGTAAATGACGGAGTTAATTCTTGAAACTACCGACAGTGGTAAATTTAGGATATAAATGATGAACAGAAGTCACGTCATGGATTCGGAGTTTGGTCCTTAATGATCACCATAAATGTCTGGTCAACTTCACCTACCAGGTATAATGGTAGCCTCCCTCTTTTGCAAAACAAGTATATAATTAAAGAAAATACTTGCAGTGTGTTAAATATATTACAGTCAACCCTCACTTTACGCGGTCCCACATTCCGCGTTTACGCGGTGCCCTGCCAGAACCCAGGATGCTCACATTCCGTGGTGGGTATACCCCTTTACACGGGTGAAGTATAATTTTTTTTAATTTAGCTCATAAAATTCATACAAATTATCCGGCCAGAATATAATTTACATTGCTGGAATTCTTACAATTTGATGATCATTTTGAATATAAACATCATAGATTTTGCATTAGACATACAAATTTCAGATATAATGTTTACTCTTGAGTAAATATGTTATCTTTTGTGCAAAATATATGATATTTATATTCAAAATATTCCTGGTCTTACAAGGAATCCAGCAATGTCAATTATATTATCCTAACTTTAGTCTGAATTATTATTTATTACTAAAAAGGTAAACAGTCTGGTATTCCCACACATTTATCTAGTAGGGACGTTGGTGGGGGGTTGGGGGGAGGGAGGGAGGGACCAGCGACCGACCATCTGTTACCGTGTGAAGAATATTTTTTTTTTTATTAACTGAAGATTTTTTTTTTAGCTCATAAAATTCATACAAATTACCCGGCCAGAATATAATTTACATTGCTGGAATTCTTACAATTTGATGATCATTTTGAATATAAACATCATATATTTTGCATTAGACATAAAATTTTTAGATAAAATGTTTAATCTGAGTAAGTATGTTATCTTTTGTGCAAAATATATGACGTTTATATTCAAAATATTCCTGGTCTTACAAGGAATCCAGCAATGTCAATTATATTATCCTAACTTTAATCTGAGGTATTATTTAATACAAAATGTTAAAATCTAAATTTTTCACCCAACATCTCTTGAAGGGAGGATTGGTGGGGGGTGGGGGGGAGGGTTGGGACTGACCGCGCGGTTGGAAGAGGGGGGAAGGCAAGGTGGGGTACTTTGATTGACAGATAGTGTCGTGAAGAATATTTTTTTTTTATTAACTGAAGATATTTGTTTTAGCTCATAAAATTCATACAAATTACCCGGCCAGAATATAATTTACATTGCTAGAATTCTTACAATTTGATGATCATTTTGAATATAAACATCATAGATTTTGCATTAGACATACAAATTTTAGATGTAATGTTTAATCTGAGTAAATATGTTATCTTTTGTGAAAAATATATGACATTTATATTCAAAATATTCCTGGTCTTACAAGGAATCCAGCAATGTCAATTATATTATCCTAACTTTAGTTTGAGGTATTATTTATTACTATACCTGGTTTTCCCCCCAAAATTTCTCAGAGGGAAGAGCCAGCAGTGTAGTGTGAGAAGAGGGGGAGGGAGTCGTGTCCATTATTTGAATGGACATTAACTTGGCGACTGTATTTCTCTATTTCTCTTAAGTATTAATTGTGTGCATGCACCATCATGAAATTAAGATGTTATTTTTACTACAACATAGTTATGTGTCGTCAAAAAGTGGAGTTTGGTGATCGGCCTGGACTCCATTTCAATTAATCCCATATGTTATGTTATTCACTTTACGCGTTTCTCCCTTTCCGCGGTACCCTCCGGGTTACATTAACCGCGTAAAGTGAGGGTTAACTGTACAGTATATTATAAATATATAAATAAACAAATAAATCGGCATATCTATTTCAAGTAAATGGAAATATTTTACTCACCGACATTACTTCCAGTTAAATAACTGACGCTTAAGTGAGTCACTAGTGTACACCAGTCAGTAAAATTTGATGCCAATACTTTAAGTGAATTGGCCTTATTTTAAATAACCAACCATAAATAAATGCAAAAAGGAAAAAAGATCAAAGGTGAGAAACATTATATTGTATGTATGTTGTGTTGTCAAAGGAAGAGAAACAATTGAAACTCAGCAATTGTGTGTAAATGAGGCAGAAAGATAAATGAGCAACCTAAGACTTGGTCACAATTTTCGTGATGCCATATGGAAGTAGGTTAGCGTTCCCCGGTCACAGTCATGGGCTAGTGGGCCGTGGGTTCAAATCCTGGTGGGTTGAGGTGTTGATTGTATGTAGAAGTCCGCGTGCTATTGGGCTAATGAAATATATATATATATATATATATATATATATATATATATATATATATATATATATATATAAAAAAAAAATATATATATATATATATATATATATATATATATATATTTCATTAATACTTCTGAGACTCAACAATCAACACCTCAACTCCGCATACTATTGGGCTAATGAAATATATATATATATATATATATATATATATATATATATATATATATATATATATATAATAATATAATGTATAATCGATGTCACCCATGTAAAATTTATCATTTCTGACATTAAATGACACCTAATTTTGTATACACTAAAGTTGACAAAAGTGATTGCGATCGACAGGAGTAGTATGCATGAAATGGCATGAAATTTTGCACAGGTGTTTGTTCAGCCATACAAGCGATGCCTGAAAAGTGCAGCCTGCAACTCAAATAAAAGTGTTTTCCCTGCCCTAAAATATATATATATATATATATATATATATATATATATATATATATATATATATATATATATATATATATATATATATATATATATATATATATATATATATATATATATATATACATACATACATACATACATACATACATACATACATACATACATACATATATATATATATATATATATATATATATATATATATATATATATATATATATATATATATATATATATATATATATATATATATATTTTAGAGTATCTGTCAATCAAAAGTACCCACCTTGCCTCCCCCTCTTCCAACCCTTGCGGTCAGTCCAACCTCCTCACTACCAATCTTGCCATTCAAGAGTTTTTAACATTTGATATGTACTCAAAAAAGATTAAAGTTAGGATAATATAGTGACATTGCTG